ATGAAATTATTTTCTTCTCCTGTGGCCTCAGTCAATCTTTGAACCAAGACAAGGGTTGCTGAAGAGAGAGATTACACAACCCACAGCAGTTACCTTCAGCCTTAGCCTCTTTTCCCCTTTCTCCCTTACGGCTCTGTGCGGTAGCGCATCTCCTGGAGAATACACGCAGGAGTTTGGTGACAGAGAAGCAGGTGACTGGAAGAAATGAAAGGGTGGATAAGAAAGTGAAGAAACACACCCCTTCCACAGCACACCTTTACCTCATTCTCCCAGCATCTTCAAAGAGCAGAAGCCAAAGTATTTTGTGAACTGTGGAGCATGATTCAATCTGACACAGACAGGCAGTGGACTGTGGTGTCCCACAAAGTACGCTGACCGTACAGGGCTGAATTCTACCCAGGAGTGCAGTAGGTCCTAAAGTCATGAACAAGTGGAGAGAGTAACACCATTTCCATTTTACAGGGGAGAAAACTGAGGTGCTGCGTATCACAACTGGACTCCTAAATCCTCAAGGAACATATGGCTCACGGGATTAGTAATGGTTTTGGGTGAAGCTGTTAGTCACTACTAACAGCTTCAAGTGCAGCACTGAGGAGGAGGATGAATACACTCCAAAACTTCTAAAAAGAAACACACGCCTTCATACAACAGGAGATTTATGAACTGAATTTGAACTGGTAGGGGCATGACCTTTTCTAGGAAGGGGTGTACAGTCCTAACCCAGAGCTGGAGCCTTTACAAGCACTACCGATAAAGACTAGAGATGAAGAGTGATTTATTAGTCACCAGCAACTTTCTCAAGATCTTTATAAGCTACAGGAGGTGAGTATTCACCACCACGAGGAACATCCAGCTCTAAATAGCTAGCAGTGTTGTACAGCTAAGTGCTGACAGCCAGAAGTCACAAGAGAAACAGCGATCCACAGCTGAATTTCCATAAACTATGTTCCCATTTAGCTTCAAACTCAGTTAAGCATTTCACTGTGGGTGGGCTATAGGCTGGACTTTTGGAGCAGTTAGGACACAGTATGCATTGCATACAGCTGCCTACTGGAGCTGGTGTGCCAAAAATTGCACCAGTCCCATTTAAAAAGGCAGCGGTGGGGTGGGAGATGTGGAAAAAGTTTATTTCTTGCTGTCAGGATGTGTGTGGTAGGGGGGAGAAGCAACAAAACCCAGCCAGTTCAGAGCAACAGGAAGGGTCAGCAATGCCTCATTGACTTGAAATACTGCTGAAAAAAGTGGTTTTTCTAGCAGGTCACTGCTCATGTGTTCCCCAGCTCTGCCACCAGCCTCGCTTCTAGCTAAAGCCTAAGAGCTATACCTCATGGTAGATCACAAGAAGCACAGCCTCCTTTAGTCCACTCATGCACCCACTGCTTGTCTTTGCAACCAAGAACAAGCATTTTTTGTGATTTCTTTTGCATCGCTCCAAAATCTCAGAGGAAACCCAATAAAAATATCTGCAAAACCAATTCCTCCTCCCTTGGAGAATCATCCGTGCGAACCCTCTGGAAGAGCTGACTTACACTGTCACTGCTGTGTTTCCACTACTGGAATGATACCGTCTCCTCGATATTTTTCCTCTATCTTGATCTGTTACTTAAGGTCATACTTAAGGCAGTGACTATCTTCTTGTATGATGCTTGTTATAGCTAACACAGCAGTGTCCTGTACCATGAGATGCAAAGAACTGGTAACATATTTCAATATTTTCTCCTCTTATCAGATTCAGATTTACACCAAAGTCAATACTGAGGATCTCAATGTTTGACACCTATTGGTGATTCTGTAAGCAATCACCTCCAATAAAACAGAATTCCTAACTTAGCAGAGATTTGCCATTAAAAATTTGGGGCAATTTGAGGATAGTAAACGGCTGCAGAACATACCCTTGTGGAGCCTCCCAGACTATGAAGTGGGCAGCCTTCCCTTGAGCCTCCAAGACCTGCCAAGTGAGAAAACAGTCAGAAAGGGTGGCTGATTGAGCCAACAGCTCAAGACTCAAATTAGAGTCCCAGCTACATGCCACATTTCCAAGACTTGTCACCGACCTTGGTTGCAGCTTCTCCCATCTTTAAAATGGGAACTATAAAGCTTTCTGCCTCCCTTAATCCCATCTGTTTAGCTTGTAAATTCTCCAGGGCAGAGATTGGTTTTTATTTGTGCATACAGCACCACATACAGCAAGGTCTTGATCTTGGCTGAGGCTCCTACTCATGATTGAAATACAAAGAAATGACGATATCTTGATCAAACATGAGGAACTCAGATAAACAATAGAAAAGCAGCTTGATATTTTTTTCCCTGTAGTCTCTGCTTTTCCGTGACTTGTTTATTCATCTCAAAGCCTCAGCAGACATCTAATCAAGCTGTTAAGTCAGATTTGTGGCCAGTCAAGCACTTAGGGAATGTTGTTAAATGCTCAAAACCAGTTCTATTCAACAGACAGCTTTTTAATTTTTCTTTTCCCTTATCCTAGATAGTGGTATGGTTTCTTTCCTCGCTGTATACTCACCATTTTCCTATCAAAATTGCATCAGGTTGATACAGTAACTTCTCCACTAAAAGACGTCATTAAGTTTTGGGTAGGGACACCTGACTTTTTTAGGCCTATCTTGTTTGCACTTCTTGGTACTGATCCAAATCATGCTACACTTAGGCGAAGCAATGATTTCAGCAGGCTTAAGAAAGAAGGAAAAATGTGATAGTTTCCAGATGAGTGTATTATACTAAATTTAACATGCCTTTTGGTACTTAGAATTTCCACTTTTCCCCCTTCCATTTATGTAATTAGAAATCAAGCAGCAGGAAACCGTTCCTGTTCCAGCCTCAGTTGGGAACAGAATGGTCTCATTCCCATAGAGGAAAACAGGAGACTTGTCCTCACAAGGAGATATTTTGCACGGCTTACATAGGCAGGTTCAAAAATAGGTTTTGAAGAATACAACTTTAATTAAAACAAAGCAAATACAGGCCAATTATGTGCTAGTTATATATGCATATATATACATATCTCAACACAGACAAGTAGCAAGGCAGCTGTGAAAAGTGAAAAAGTACGTTCTTACCCCATTTAAAGAGCAATGACAGGTTTTAAATTCCACTTTTTAAAATGTGCAATTTTTCCACACTCACCCTAGTGGATTTCGTATTAATAAACAAGAACTTGTGTTCTGATTATTCTCGCTCTAGCAATAAAGGACACATTGTGAATTGATATCTACAGTGATACCCTCCAGGTTCCACGGCTGGAAGAACCACTTGATCATGGGCCACAGTAGATCAAAGTAAGAATTAACTCTGGAAAGTCGTATTTGAACTAAAGCAGAGCATACCAAGGCAGGACAACTTATTAACAGAGACATAAACCAAAAATGGAATCCATCGTCATGGCCCAGATGATAGCTACAGCTTTTTCTGTGTGTTGACAGTCGTTACATTCAGATTTATATTCAGATTTTGGTTCTCCTGTTTCTTACCCAGGTTGATGTTGTTCTCTCCGGCTGAACCCACCCACTTACCAGACTGCTAGTATTGCAGCACACACACACGGAACTCAGTAAAATCACTTTCCAAACCACAGAGAAGCTATGGCTCCAAAGTACATAGATCAAATTAAAAATTGGGGCCAGATAAAATGATTCAAAATTGGGAAGAAAGAAAGAAATCCTGTTCCCAATAAGCTGTTTTGACCTGACTGATGAATGCAGTCCGGCAAGGGAGAAGGTGGAAAAACAAGGACATGTTCAAGCAATGGTCCTGGATGGTATCATGCTTTGACAGTCTTTAGCACTGCTCTGGCATTAAAGAGATTTTATTTCACAAGTCCATCGCTCTAGGCGAGCTCTTCAGCTTCTGTTGACTCTGGGCACAGCTCAACATGTCTCTTCAGTGGCTAAGATCCACAGATGGGTGCCCAGGGAATGTAGGGGTGCAGGACTGCTGTAGCACCCAGACCAAATCTCAGCCCCATTGCTCAGCACGATAAGGAGTTGAGGTCTGAACTCAGGAGACTGCCCCACAGCCCATTCCCCTCCTTCTTTGGCATGGTTTGAAAAACAAATATTGCACAACTTGTTTTCCATTGTGTTTTCCTTTCTGGAGAGGAATTTTTTTGTCACTCTTCCATCTGCCAGCACTCGCCATGCAGAACAAGCTTTCAATAAAGGAAAGCGTAGTATCAATCTATACCATTTCCTTCCTGTCTCAGGAGACATTTACATCTTGTGTTACATGGACATCATGTATCAAGCATGAGACAAAGAAAAGAAATCCTTGAGAGTCATCTCAACAATTAGAAAATTGTGCCGAGTAAAGAAGCAGTGAAGATGACCACACAAGTCAAGAGAAGAGCAGCAGACAACATGCCAACAAGTAATTACAAAGATTAGGGTAAATGTAAAGTAGAAGGGAGTACTTGGACTAGTGACTTGCCAAGGTAATAAAGAGCTTTAAATATCTGTGACCCATTCCCAGACACTGAAACCTGTATGTTCTCCCACAGAAGAGGGGTGAAAAAGCAATCAACCCAGCAAACTGAGAGCCAGATGTGCATCTGTTTAATTCGCCCACCACACCAAGGAAGTTTCAAACTTGGGTCACTCCATGAGTCAAAGTGACAAGGAACAGCACTAGGTAGCTGCATCAGTCACACAGTTAGGATTTGTCCTTTTGGATTCTGCCTCTTTGGAGAGGACAAGATTCCAATTTTAAAGGGCAACTGTACAAACAGGACATGGGAGTATTTATATTCCTCTCCAAACACTGGCATAAGCAGCAGGGGTCTAGTGGGTGATTTATGAGGTGGGAATGCTTCTTTGAACTGTACGTTAGATGGGGGTTGCCTTTCAAGAGTGGAGAGGAACATACGACGGCTGTCTTTTCTGAAGAGCTCTCGCAGTGGCTTTTACCCAGGTGGTCACAGCTGCTAGGTACTCAAAATGAAGTCCTCTCCTTCCATTCTCTCTCTCTCACTCACATACAAAGTCAACACACCAGAGAAGGCCATTTGTCTTTTATTTATTTCCCAGAAGAGCTCTTCCTTGCACTTTCCAGACACGATACAAAACAAGCAACAGAGCTTTGTTTCATGTACAGAAACAGTTTGTTGGAGTATAAAGAGTTACTGGTGATCATTACTGAAGAATGTTGGCTTATTCCAGGGGCACTTCAGTATTCCTGAGGAATAATCATTGATTTCTCCTTCCTTCCCACTGGGATAGTCTTAGTCATTAGTCACTGTTCCTGTAAAGCAAGAAGGCTTATATTATTAAAAAGCCATTTGGGTTCCTTACATAGAAGGTGCTGCACGATGTAAAGCAAGCCACTTAGCTTTGTAACATATCCAGAAGGCAGGCTAACGTTTTCACCCTTTGCTAGACTGAGGAGTTGAGCACGGAGAAGTTAAGCAGCTATTTTCATACCAGAAGCATGCCATGTTTACATGCATATCAGCCTCCATTCTGATAAAATGGGTACTCCAAAAAAACCAAACATTACTGTTCAAGTTAACTGTTCAATGACTGAATTGAAATCAGATAGAAATCAAATCCACAAAGGGCATGAGGAAAGGCTCCAGTTGCCAAACTTCTTGTATTCTTGGACATGAATATAATCCACATTGCTATCAAAGCACAGCGTTGTGTTTTCTTGGATGAAAAATAATACAGGCTAAATAACCTGAAAAATATGATACTCTCCATTTTGCAAGGAAACCTTGGCCATATAATTCTCAGCCATGCTGTTTTAAGCTTTGAAATAATGGCTAGATGTTGATTTTAAATTCAGCTGAAGTCACAGTGAAATCCACTTGATCAAATTACTTTAAAAGCCCTCAGAATCTTATGACCACAAATTAGAACTTTTCTGCATTTTAAGTGGTCTCTTGTTCTAGATGAATGGCTCTTGCACTGGTGTTAAGTGTTTCATGATCAACTTACTAACCCAAAGGATGGGCAGCGTGATGATCCAAATTACAGATAAAACAGCTGCAAAATCACTGTGTAACCTCCTGATTATTTGGTACCATGAAGGTCCTCTGTCCTTACTTAGGATTCAGAATTAAGAACTTGATCCTGAAGAATCAAGAATCCAGACTGGATAAAGCCTTGAGTAACCTGGTCTGACCTCGCAGCTGACCCTGGGTTGAGGTCAGACTAGATGACCTCCTTTGAAGTCCTTTCCAACTTGAATTATCCTGCGATCCTATGAACTTGACAGGTTTGAAAAACTAGACATAATTTCATTCAAGCTAATCCATGTTACATTTCTCTCTCTCTCTTAATAAAGCTGATTTTCTAGCAAAATCTTACATTTTGACAAATTATCATTGGAACAGAAACTCAGTTTTGTAAAGAAAGTCCTATAGCGTTAAGTTACAGAGTATTTTCTAGGAAAAAAACAGATGACTGATAGTACAACAATATTTTCCATGCTCCTAACCAAGAGAAGTGAAATAATTTTGTTGTAATAACCCTGGAGCCATTATCCATGACACAACATTTTGGAGAAAATTAATGGCATTAACCATTAGATGGCTTCATCCACATATTCCCTCTCTCAGCATATTCAGCCTCTTTGTGCCAGAGAAAGCTAGTGGAGACAGTGCACTGGAAACTATTTGTCTAGCCTTGTGCCATGCAGGCAGCTGCGCTTCTTCTGTGAAGTGTCCTTTCAATTACCTCATGCTTTGAAGGACCACCCTTGCTCCAGAGCACAGATTAGTCCTTAATCCAAACAAAATCCCTTACTAGGCTGACCTGAAAGTCCATTTTCTGTTGCCTAACATCCCTAGTAACAAGCATCCTTGAATGAATAATGCACTCCCAGAACATGTGAACAGGACATTTACCATTCACGTGAAGCCACAGACACATCTTTCCAGTTTCTTTTTGGAGATGTAAATAGGAGGAATACCTTCAGGATGCTCTGGAAAGCTAACACATTTTGATGTTAACATATCTGGCCAGAAGTGTCACCACAGCCTTTTGGTTCCGGGCTGCAGCTGGAAACAGTGCATCAACTGCATCAAAGTCACACTTTCTCTCTGTTGCTATCCAAAATACCCTATTCTGAAAATGAAGAAGTTGTTCCAGAATCTTGTTATTGTTTCCCTTTCTTTACAGGCAGCTGAAGATAGTATTTGTAAACCAGTATGTCTGGCAGGGCTGCAGAAGGCTGGCAAAAGCTCATCTGCCTGTAAATCTAAGGACGACTGGACTCAAATTTCAGGTCTGGATGCATCAGGAAAAAGCCTAAAAACACCTTCAGACCTCCTCTGTTAGGCAGACAAACGGTACAGAGGCAATTTCTGCATTTTGTGCACTTGCCATGAAAAGCTCCAGGCAGAACATTTTACCTCAGTACTTTCTGAAGTGCTAATATAACTCTAAGTATGTCCTGGTGGATGCCTCTCCATCAGTATCAGTGGAATGCTTTTAGCAATATACAGCTGTGTGGATCCAAAATATACATGTACGGCGCTTTTTTTTTTTCCAGATGCCACAGTGATAAATTACCATAAGAACAGCCACAACTTTTACATGTGGAGAAATCAAGAAAATATTAATGGAGTCAGTTCGTGGACTTGGTACAGTGTAGGCAGTTTGCAAGTGCACAAATCGTTCCTGCTAATTAATGTGTTTTAAAATATTTTATGACATCACAGTTAGTGACAATATTAGTGATAATACTGAACTCATTTAAATGATCCTCTTCAAAACTATTCAAAAGTGTACAACTTCTTCAGACTAATGATTACATTACTATTCAGCCAAACAAAACCTACAAGTGATCAGTGTTTTCATGCTGCAAAGAAAACTTCACAGAAGATCAAAGATCTGTTTCCACAGGCAAATCTACCTGACATGACTTTCAGTTTCTTCCTAGCTCATCTCTTTTAAAGTCTGAAGACAGAAACTGACCGTTAGTTTAGTTTAGTTAACAGATATTTAAAATTTCTAAAGAGCAGGGGAACCACTCCTGCCTTGGCAACACAAGTTTTTTCTTACTACTGCTCTAGGAATATCCATTTAAATGATGTCCAGATGTACTGTTTAATGTTAACTTACAAATAGTTACCAAATAATTGTAACTTGTACTGATACTTACTTTTACAAATTTACCATGGAGAAGATATGGAGACTGGAAGTCATGTTGACAATTGGAATAAGCCATTCCTAACCCCATCCCTGACCCAAAAGCGATAGGCCATGTCTTTCCTGTGGGAAAGGCAAGCAGAGAGGAAAAGTTAAATCAAGAGAAGCTTTCATTTCACATGACAGTGATAGCATTGTTAAATAAGCACCAAGAAAGAATAAACTACTGGAAGGTGGATATTAGGCATTTCCAAGTTCTACGAGTCCTAAAATCAGCTAAAAACCAGACCACTTCAGGAGAACAAAAGTGAGCACGACCTCATATTTGTAATGTAATGGAGAGCAACCTCTGAATTCAAGATATTACTCAATATTATTCTGTTACCAAAGCACAACTAAAGAAGAATTTAGACCAGTTAAAACCCTGGCAAGACTGGCATAAACTGATGTCTGGACACATGGCTCCAGTAATTTGGCTCAGGGTTTCCTTCAATTCCAGAAATTGAGCTGAGCACGGTAGGAGCTTCGAGAGATGCCACGTGTAACAACCTTGTTACACAACAGCTTACAGTTTAGGTAACTCCATCTCAACTGAAAAGACATAGTCAATAATGAAATTAATGGTCTAATGTGCTGATTAAGTTTTACGTGCCTCAAAGATTTCTTGGTTTTAAACTGTACCTACAGTGAACAGAAATTAGGAAACCAGGCAGTCAAAATCACAGCAATACACTTACTTTTGAAGAAGATGACTGAGAAAACAATTCCTAATCCAAACCCAGCACCTGTAAGAAGAAATGCAGTGAGTGAGGACTCAGACTGTGTGTTATTTCAGCACATCAAACAAAAATGTACTTAAATAGTAATTCTGAAAAAAAATTTGTTTTCTTAAGTAACTGTAAGCAGCTAATTCAGATTGGAATCCCAACAGCTACAAGTATGTTATCAGAAACATTTGGGAGACAAACTAGACTCTCATCCCAGGGAAACTTACTGAATTTCTGTCACCATCTACAATGTGGTATTAAGATTTATTTGGCTTATTGTCAGCAAATGAGAAATACTTAAATGAAAACTTATTGTGTCCTTGAGCTTTAGATTTTGCAGATTAATATCTCATTGTATTTCATTTATCTCACTACTTTAACTACTTCAATGTGTGTCCTGAGGGCAGCAAAACTTTGATGCTTTGTGTTACTCTATACCTTCCAAAAGAAAGCTCCAGGCTGCTTATCTTTCACATCCACAACATTCATTACGGAGCATATTTAAACACATTAGGAACGAATGACTTTTCACATCCTTATACTATATATAGAAATAACTGCAGCAGTTGAAAAAAAATTATCCAGCGCCATTAAAAAATTCAGCTGGCAAATTTTTGCTTTCTTTGGAAGGGGTGCTCATGATTTTTTGCAAGAAGTCAGGCAAGTCTGCAAAACTCCTCTCGTGATCCAATAAATATAACAGTGAAAACCCTGAGCTCAGTGGGTAAAGTCTGCCTTTAATTATACCCACTAAAGACAAGAATTTTAGATAAGGCACAGAAGTACAAAAGCTTCTAAAAAAAAAAAAATCAGTCATGCATATGCTCATTAAAAAAATACCTAACAGTTTCACATTTATTTTGCCATAAACACATCCTGTTATTGGTTTCAATTATCTCGTTTCCATACAAGAAATCTAACTTCAGTATAATGAGTTTTATTAATTAAAATATCCCTAAAAGCATGTGATCCTCTTGGCACATAGGAATAAGTTTCTTTATTTTCCTTTTTTTTTTAGATTTCCTTTTGCTCTTTAAACCTTTTTTCCTTGCAAAAAGTATAGTAAAAGGCAACTCCTATTGAGGCACAGATTATTGAAACAATACTTAGTAAATTAACTAAGCACCCCACGTTTTTCATAGATTAAAAAACCTTGAATATTGAAACAGAGATGACCAAACAGACAATCTAAGCCAACCCCCCTTCACTGTTCATATTTACTGAGAGCTGGAAACCAAGAGCTGCTTTTGAAAACTCTCTTAATTTTACTACAGATTTTCAATTGTGACAGAGGTAACTGCTTTACCAGGTCATTACAACTTTGGAGTAGGCTTACAAAACATGCAACTGCAGGGAAGAACTCCGACCGCCTGCCAAGTGGTCCTGACATAACTCCCCCAGACATTTTGGAAACCGAGCATTTCACAGAAGGTCAGGTTTTCACTCTAATCATTTGCACAGCTAAGGGAAAAATCTCAGTTCCTCAGATGTCTGGTCAGAGCTTCAGGCTTTTTCTGCAGTTTAGAGTGAGACAGACACTACTTGGAGCATCACGTATAAACAGCTAACTACTCATACCATGTCACTGACCAGCATTTCTGTGCAGACTGGAAGAGACATCATGCATTAGTAAGAGCAGCAGTTCATCCGTGCTAATTCCTCCACTCCCACTCCCCAAGCAGAGCCTTCCTTCTAGTACCTTTGCTAGAATACAGCTGGTGTTGGCTCTCGCAGAGTGTTTATGCTATTAAGGATAATTACTATCTTCAAGAATTCATCCAACGGACAACTGTTTGGCCCTGTGACCTGGCTCCCTCTGCCAGCCTTCTACAATACGTAGTTACGCTGCCTTTTTCTTTTGGGCTATTGTACTGTAGATCTGAAAAGGACTTTCTGTTCAGACAGCACTAGGCGTTGTTTGAACTGTCCGGTTCAAAAGGCCTGTCATGCAGTGAGTGATATTGGTCCTACGCTTCCTGTCCAAAAAGGTTCCCCTCTGCCAATCCAAACAGTTTAGCTAATCAATGAGAAATTATTTACACAATGACAAATTCTGCATCATCTCGCTGCAGAGCCCAGGCAGTTTCTAATATCACCACATTTTCCATGTTACCAGTCAAACCCACATTCTTCTCACCAGTGTGGTGGTAAACTGCTTACTTTCTTAAGAAAAGTCTGCACTAAGGAAGCAGCTATAGTTATACAGTTTCTTTTCATCTACGTCCAGAAATCTTCATTATCTTGTATTCTCTTCACCTTTTTCAGATGCTCTCTCACATTATATCCCCATATGTAAGGGCTCCACATAGATGCTATCAATGCTGCTTCCGGCTGGCCATGGCAGAAGCTACAGCATACACTTAAAGGTGAAAAAATTATTATTTCTGCCAAGTACAATTCAGCTAAAGCCTAAAACAAAACCTAGGTCTTCCTTCATGCTAATACCCAACACCACTGTTAAGCAGATTTGGTCCAGCATGACCGACTTGTTAAGACAGAACAGTCTTTCCTAAGGAAGCTTTTTTCCTGAAGTAGTGGTAAGCCTGGTTCTAATGAAGGGATTCTTCTTTTTCATGAAAATGCAGTGTCAATTTTAGAGGCTCTCACTGCACCCTGTTCCAGCAGCAAGGGGAGTACAGTGGCTGATCAGCTCAAAAGGATGATGGTAAGATATCTGGGGCCTTGCTTTAAGTAATGAAAATGCTACAGAGAAGTAAAGGAGGTGATCTGACAGCTAAAGGGGTTTTGTTTTCTGTAGAAGAGGACAACTTGTAAAACAAAGCCAGAAAAGTACATTAGCTTCCCTCACCCAAAGGCAGTTTGTTCATTCCTTTTCTTTCTGAGAAGACTACAGTCTACGCTGAAAACTGTTGCTGATCCCAACACAAGAGCACCAAGAAACGCTCAGATCTGCCCTCTCACGTCAGCCAGGGCCTATACAGCATTTGCTCTTTTCTACTTGGTTTTAACCTTTAAGCATTGGTTTTAACTTAAAAGCAGAAGCTTTAGGTACATTTAATTTCTTAGCCTGTCTGGTTAAGAACCTATTTCTGTGGATAGTATGTCACTCGTCTTCATACCACTAGAAACTATTTGTGGTTCTGTGGTCATTTCCTGTGTCTCCAGGACCAAGGGGGAGCTAAACCATCTTGTCTTGGAAGCAAACTAACGCGTTTCACTTTAATTCTATATAAAGTTACACCAGAGATAAACAATGGCAGAGCTGTTGATGAGTTTTACAGGTTTAAGTTCTCACATGCTCAATTTCCTTTTAAAGAGGCAACATGTTCGTTCAAAGAGCCTCCCACCTGACCAGGGGACCCTCGCTCTGCAGCTGTTTCTACTAAAGATCAGCACCTCTAGGCCAGGCTTTAACTCCATAACAATAAAACATGAAAGGTTTATCTTACAATAAAAACAAACGAACATGGAAAAGCTAAGGGCTTGATCCACGCCGGGCACATTTTCCCTCCCTTTCTTGCATGACAGACTCTTTGGAGGAAAAGGCCACAGGAAAGAGTACAACGCATTTTTCACCTCCTTTGACAGTTTAAAATGTTTAACTAGAAAAACAGCCTTTTCCACCCTTCATCTATCACTTCAGCTTAAACTCATTTACAGTCAAGTGTCAACAGGGGACAGGACAGATCTGTGGACATCTTATTCCTGCTCCCCAGTAAGCGTCCCAGCTGTATGGACCAGCACAGCCACATGGAATTGGTATTAGGCAGAAAGCCCAGTCTCCAAAACTTTTTAATTCTACTTTTTGGCTCATACACCTTCCAAGAAAAATGTCATGGTACCTCCAATCAATCTAACACACAGAAGAGCACGCGCCGTATACCCAACAGGACATCATAAAAATGTCTCGGAGAGAAACACAAATCTTCAGGATGGGCTCCTGCCCCATAAGAACATCTGGGAAAAGCTTTTTCTATAAATTTAATCAACAGTCACTCCAACAGCGATGCTACACCATCCTTTCCTAGGCTACCCAAGTAGCTACAGGCTGAAGCAACTATTAAGACTGCCACACCTATATATACTTTTCTTCAATAGTTTGAAACTTAAAAAAAGGATTAAAATAAGCTTGTCAACATCTGGCAAATGTGTTGCTGTTACTATAGCAGCTGCAAGTTTTTAAATTACTTTTTTCTTTTTGTCATCAAATTATTTTCCTCTGCCATTCCTTACACACATACAAAATGCAGAGCTTCAGCTTCCTCTCCTTCAGATTCTGTTATTTTACAATTAAAAGAACTAAATGATTGAAATAAAATTAAGGAGGAGCTCCTGGAAGAAGGATCCTTGTTCTAAGAAAATAGCAACCACTCTGTACAGACAAGACTCTCTAAAATAGGTCAGGGACTTCCCAGCTAGGACAGCTTCCATTAGGATCAAGAAAATCTATTGAGCATGGTTAGCTTCTCTCTGGAGACAGTGACAGCAACAGCTTCAAGGTCTAACAGGAGATCTCATCCACCAGCCCAATGCACTGAAAGTTTGGAATGCATCAGCTCAGTCCAGCACTAAAATTTACTTTAGCTAAGGAAATACCCAAGAAAAGTCACGATCTTCAAAACAAACAAAAAATACAAACAATTCTCAAACTACATTTTCCCTCCTGTTGTAGGGTGTCCCATCCTGCCACCCCAAAAACCCACTTCGGCAAGATATTTTGATAATTGCTTTACAAAAACGAGGAGGAAACCATTCTTCATACACCAGGGCCTTTATAGGGCAGCACTTAATGCCAGTTAGAAATCAGAGACCATGAAATCATTTATTTACCAAGAGAATTAATTTTAAGCAGACTCTTAGCAAGGTCTTTTGTGGTAGGAATCAGATTTTCTTCAAACACCAACTTTGAAGCTTTCATTCTCACCCCCCCCGTTGTGCAGACTGTTTACATAGCAGAGAGAAAAATGAGCAAGGACACTAGAAGAAAACATTGTGAAACTATATACCAAGTACTCGAGGAAGAAGCAGGAAAAAAGCATGTTTGGCTTTCTTCTAGC